CCATGCTCGCCTATGTGGAGTGAGTCACCACACTGCCACTATACACCTTACGACCACATAAACCGAATAAGAGGGAAGAGACATGGTGTGTATGCCCGCTCGTACTGTCGGGACACCATGGCACGATGCGCGCATCAAGCGCCGGATAAGGTCAAGGACATGTGTTCACGCCTTTCGTTGTTCTGACTAGCCAACCTTCACCCTGGGCCAGCGGGTTCACCCCGTTCTTTATTCTAACTGGCCAGCCTTCGGCCTGTTACACTTACCCCACACCATATATACCGCGGTGTTAACATGAATCCCCACTCGAACTGTGCCTTCGTCCTCAGTACACGTCCTGCCTACAGGCAGTCCTCTGTTTTGCCTACATAACATTCTGTCTACAGGCAGCCTTCTCTTTTACATAAGTTACATTCGAACTGCCTACAAACTGTCTTCCGTTTTCACTACATAACAAGACACATGATCAGACAGGACAAATTAGGTGTCTGCTACTACTACCTGCTGTACCCGCTAAAAGCGGTTCAGCCATCACGGAGGATTGAAAACAATGAGGGTCTTCAAACATCAGTCATGGGGTTGATGAACGGCGCGACTGAGATTAGATGGCTAGTTTCAACGGATCGTTTTTTTGATGTCCTTGTGGTGAAATCATTCAGTAATTGCTAGCAAAAGAACACAAGACAGGGATTTAGAAACTGCCATACTGACATTTACTGGCTCTCGGCATTAAAGCGAAACGTCCTCCGACCTAGCAAAAGTAAACGACCTTTGTTAATCCGTTCGATTGATACTGGTACGGTCAGGGCAGGGGCAGGTGATATTTGTAACCAGTCTTTTTAACGTATTTTTATGCGACTTGGAGGACAGCAGTTTGCTGAAGCTGGTCGTTGGAAACCCATACTTTACTGAGTTCAGTAAGTCACTTCAGACAAGAACCCTGGTAAAAAAGGTTCATTCAGAGGAATAAGTTCTCAGATAAAGTTGTTCCCTTTTACTACATTCCGCAAAAAAGATACGGGAAAAAACAGATTACCGATTTTAAAGCAAATCTATTCGAAGATATGACAGGGATAGACTTTTTTGTTGTCTTTGGCCCGTGCGCATTTATTCAGCGATAGCTAACTTGCTCCCCCTCTGCATAAAAAGCCTGCACAGATCTCACTCTCGGAAAGAAACCAGCAACCAAACACGTCATGGCAAGCACATGTGACTTCGTGCAATAAATCGATATTCCTCTTTTTGACACACAAAAGGCCTAATTTGCAGTTTTAAACACTGTCCCTAATCAATACGTCAGACGATGGCTCACGAGACGAAAGTTGTCTCGCTAAAGTATCGCCCTTTGAGAGACCAGGACGACTTCTTTCCAAATGGAAGACCCGCAGTTGCTCCAGTTTCTTGTGAGGCCTTTCTGCGACGCCCTTTTGACGTCGTGCTCATTCTTCTTTCTCTCACTGGCATGTCGTTGGCCATTCTGCATTTTGTTTTAAGTATTTCGAACCTCCCACCCCTTCCAAAGCCACCGAATAACGCATCTCTGCCCTGTGGCATTTACAGAGGTAAATGGAGCGGCCCACACAAGGTGCTGCGATTCTACGGTGTCCCCTATGCCATTCCACCCCTGGCTCTGCCTGACCTTACGACTGAAGAACTCTTGCAGCATATTGTGCCAAGACATCGACACCTGCGTTGGTTGTCCCCAAAGCCAGCTGAAGGGGTGGAGGGCTGTATTGTCAGTCATCATGACAAGTGCGCGTTTCAGAAGGGTCAGTGGTTATGCAAAATGGATAGGAAGCCCGCCCATGGATTTTGTGCTCAACCATTACCCAATAGAAAGGAAGACTTCAGGGATGTGGAACTGCTTTTCTCGCGAGAAAATTGTCTGCAGTTGGATATAGCAGCCCCCCTCTATTCAGGCACTCTCCGACCCGTTGTTGTACTCCTGGTGGGTTATCAGTCCTTTGCTGAACCCCTAATGCCACCTTCTTACCGAGAGCCCGCATATTGGCCATCCGATGTGGCAGTGTTGGCATCGGACGCCGTGTGGGTGTACCTGCATTACCGCCTAGGAGTGGCCGGTTTCTTCTTTGACCTAGAAGTGCGGGACAGTCGATCTGCACCGAGCGGCACCTACGACGTACCCTTTCACAACTTTGCCATCGAGGACCAACTGCTGGCGCTGAAGTGGATCAAGGCCAATATTCGCCGTTTTGGTGGGGATCCAGCCAGGATCACGTTGCTGGGTCATGGTTCTGGTGCAACGAACGCCCTGGCACTGTTAGACCTTCAGTCGAGGGATAAGAATCAAGGCAGGCTCTTCAATCAGGCCTGGCTTGCAAGTGGAGGCGTACACTGGGCCATGGACAAAAAGAAACATGTACCCTCTGAGATGCTTGCCGATTTGGTGAAGAATCGACTGGGTGAGCATTGTGCGGTGAAGGGATACATTGCCAAAAGCTGCAACGCACGAGACCTGCATCGTGCTCTGATGGAGGATTCAATCGCGTTTTTGTATGAATCAACAAAGGAGCTCTGGAAGGATAGCCGTCTATTGGGTGATATCACAACTGGTGATTCACCTAGAGGCTGGATGTACGGTAAAGATAAGTTGGATCTGAAACCGCCCATATTCTGGACACCTGACAAAAAAGAACAAATGTTCTCCCCAAGAAGTGAGCCACATAAGTTCACTTTGAAAGTTGGCAGTTTAGCCTGACAGCTTAATTTTTATCTCGGTTGAGGAAGTAGTACGTACCTTGATAATTAGATTTGACATTCTATAAATGAGCAAACTTACTGTCGACTAGAACTGGGTGGATTATGGAGGATACTCCACGATACGTTCCGAAAGATGTATTTAGTATAACTTAAGTCTAGTTTATAAATGAACGTTTGTCTACTCTGTTCCTCACCATCCAGCCTAAAAACAGATGATACTCACATCAATAGATTGGTAGCGTGACTGTTTATGAGTAGCGAATATATGCAGTAAATATCTGAACGGTAACAGGGCAGATTTTCGTCTAGATACGGGGTCCGCAAC